GCCCAACTGGTGTTGTTATAAGCCAAACATGGGAAATTGGATGGGAGAACTTAATTTTGGTTCCCAAACACCCAAGGGAGAACCCTAAATAGATCGACTTGGGAACATTCTTGGAGCTATTTTGAAGGATTTCTTCACCAATGGAGCTCGAGAATCAAGCTTGGAGATGGGGATTGAAGAACTAGATCAGATTTTTGCACTCTCTCTCTTCTCTATGGAGTAACTTCCCTTCACTTAGGTTTTGAGGAACCTTAGTTCCATGTATTAGGATCTTTTTTGTATGAACCTTTGGATAATATAATATTTGATTTTAATCAATTGAGTCATTTGGATCCTAACCATATTCTTTTGTTTTCTGCATTAACCTATGATAGTTAGAACCTGATTAGGTTAAGAGAGCTTTTCCCCCGCAAACTAAACCATACAATTGAAGCCAATTGCTCCACAAGGAAGCCAGGATCGTGCTGGAAACTCGACAAGTAAGCTCGAGTGTTTTAAGTGCCATGGCCGAGGGCACAAATCCTTCCAATGCACCAATACGAAGATACTTGTCCTTCGTGACGGAGAATACTACTCCGAGAGTGAGGGAGAAGAGAATCATCCTGAAGACGAATCCACTGAATAAGAGGTTGATGAGGCCATTGAGATCTAGTCACCACCTTTGTGAGTACAAGCTTGAAGATCTAGTCACCACCTTTGTGAGTACAAGCTCTCAGAAGTTCCAGAAGATTGAGAAATTTATGGATGGGGCAACCTCCAAGTTGACCTCTTTGAGGTGGGACTTCAGAGTCATCAAGCAAGCCTCCAGATTTTGGAAGTGCAAATCAGCAATTTTGTCGGGATTCTCACCGATAGACCAAAGGGAGCCCTACCCTCTCAAACCATGGCAAACTCCAAGGATCATGTCGGGGTGAATGCAAATCAATTGCAAAGTGGGAAGGTGACTCCGGAGGTCGTTGCCCAGAAGTGATCAAGAATTAAGATCCCTCACCCGAGGGTGAAGAAGAAGAAACCTCGGGAGAAAAGAGAGGAGTGGCGAGGAAGCCATTGCCAACGCCACCTTCATTGGCTGAGTACACGCCCCCCCCCCCCTACCTTTTCCTTCGAGGGTGCACAAGGAAAGATTGGAAGCGAATGCGGAGGTTACATGGAGATGCTCCGAAAGCTCCACCTCAACATTCCCTTCCTTGAAGCGATGGCTCAAATGCCAAGGTATTCAAAGTACCTCAAGGGGCTTATATCCAAGAAGCCAAAGTTCCAAGACCTCGCCAATGTCCCTCTAGGCAAGAGTGCTCAGCCTTTATCCTTAATAGGTTGCCCAAGAAGCAACCAGATCCAGGTAGTTTCACCATACCTCTCTGCATCCGTACTCATCACATAGTGAATTCCTTGGCGGACTTAGGGACGAGCATAAATGTGATTCCATTTAAGCTTTTTAAGAGTCTAGACATAGGTGAACTAAAGACCAGGAGTCTTAGTGTCACATTAGTCGATCGCTCTGTCATTAGTCCTAGGGGTATAGTGGAGTATGTGCTAGTAGGAGTGGGAAAATTCTGTTATCCGACAGATTTTGGGATCCTGGATATAAGTGAGGATTCTGAGATGCCACTCATACTAGGATAGCTTTTCCTTGCCACATCCAACGCATTAATTGATGTAAATGAGGAAACTTTTATTCCGAGGGACGGTGAGGTGAGAATTACTCTTGGAACTAAACCTAAGCTTAGAAGTGAGGAAGTGAAGAAAGTGGAACCGGATGATATGAATGCAAGTGGAGGGAAACCTTTCAAGGTGAAACCCACTATTACTTTTGTTCCTTGTGGTGATGTGAAGCAGGAAAGTAAGGAAGGCATGTCACCCAAGGAAGAGAGCTTGGAGGGAAAGGATGAGTCACGTTACTGCCCGGTGGAAGGAAAAAGGCAAAGCAAAAGTGATAAGCCAATGAGGCCATCTCATGGAGCTTAAGTTGGGAGGCTACATTACTCGCCCCGAGATTGTAGAGGATCCACTCTCGGCGGCATCACATTCCAAGACGTGATAAACCCGCAACTGTCAAGATAATGACGATAACTTAGCGCTTGTTGGGAGGCAACCCAACGGAAGTTTGTTTTATTTTCTTTTTTGTGTCAAGTGAAGAGTTCAAGTGGTTGAGTGGTATCTCCATGCCAGGTTTTTGTGATTGTGTGTTTTTGGAGTTGTGTCGTGAATGATAGTAGGCACGGTGGAGTAGGCCGAGTCAAAAAATTTCGGAGATGTCATGTTTTCACTGCAGTTCACGATTTGCTCTTCGAGTTCACGGTCTTAATCGACCGTGAACTGACGAACAAGTCCGTGAACCAGAGCGTCCCACGTGTGCCAGACCCACCGGTCAGCCCTATAGTTCATCGACGGATTGCAATGTACACGGTCTTAACGACCGTGAACTGGAAAACGCATTCGTGAACCTCAAGGTCTGCATATAAAAGGGTCGTGAACATTGACCCTGCACTTCACGACCCAAAGATCACCGAAAAGCTTTCAAACTCGCCGGAAAACCGCGATTTTCCGATGAATTTCACCCTTTTCGTCAACTTTCGCTAATCCAAATCAAAAACCAGTCAAAGACCCAATATCCCCTCGTCAAGGGCGGCCTTCGCTCAGAATTTGGGGGGGGGGGATTTGGAGTCATTTTTTCCAGTGAAGTCGCCGCCGGCGAGCTTCCACCGAAGCTCCGGCGACCCTCCTCCGACTTGTTTTTCGGCCAGTTTTTTGCCTACCTCGCCCTATCCTCACTTCCATACCATCCTACTTGAGTCTCCAGGTTTGTCTTCGACTTTACCTTTGTTAATTTTAGGAGAATCGAATTAGGTAGTGAAGTGGGGAGAACCTACGAATTAAATGTTGAACTTAGAAATAGGGCAAGGAATTAGGTGAATTGTGATGCATGAATAATGGTGTTTGAATGAGCTTAATTGGGCCTTGGTGAGCATAATTTAGGACAAATTTCTTTTGAATGTGAAATTGCCCACAAAGTGCCAAAATGTGAATGATTGTGAATTGTGATGCTTGAGTGGTGGATGGTAGCTGCCGTGGCATGGTTTGGGTTCGAATTTTTTGTGTGGATAAACCGTGAAATACCCAAAACCATGTCTCAGTGTGCTTGAGCTTAATTGTTTAAAAAGCATGGACCCGTAGTGTGAAGATAAGTGTGGGGGAAATTCCTTTCCCTCCCAATGAGTTGAGAATGATGATTATTTCGACGTATGGTGCATGTTTGACTTTTTTTTGCAGGATGCTTAACCTGGACCACAAGTTCATCAGCTATCTGGTGAACCACGAGCAATTAGTGCAAAAGTTCGCCTACCAGATGCACAGTCAGGTCGGACCTCACTAGATGTTCGACCTGGACATGTTTAACATGTTCATGTGCACAGCCGCGATGTCGGGGGTCACTTGCCACCCCCAGTGGCGTCGGTTGCTGACGGTGGATGAGCACATCTACCACGAGCTATGTGTGGAGTTCTACTCCACATTCTCCCACGTGGTCCCGACGAGCAAGAAGAGTCGGCCCCACTTAGAGTTCATGCTCAAGGGTCAATCGAGGGTGCTGACATACGATGCATTCACCCAGACCATGGGCCTCGACACGACCAACATGACGATGACGGAGCGCCAGTGCACCGTCCACTTCTAATACCAGGCCGCATTCCAGGCCCTCTGCCTCCCGGAGCACAAGCAAGATGAGTTCGAGGCAGGCCACACCAACGCGGTGAAGCTATGGACCCCGTGGAAGATCATGCATACACTGCTCACTCAGTCTGTCATACCCAGTTTACATTCAGGCCACTACATTCGATGAGGCATCCCGTCGAGCCACTCCATCTGGGGTCGTTGATTGCCACCAGTATCGCCCGGTGTCTGGGGCGGAACAGGGTGGACATAATGCACATGGGGGGCCCCATCATGAGACTGTTTCGATCAATCGGTGTCGACGTGACGAGGTGCTCTATCATTGGTCGGACCGAGGGTTTCCCCGCAGTGACTTTGTACAACATGAAGCTGGTGCTTCAGGGAGAGCGAGGTATCGAGTGCCTCGATGGACTACGACCCTCGGCAGCTATGAGGACAACAGTCGACCTGGCTCTAGCAGAGCCCGACGCAGAGGTCCCTCCTCCAGAGCAGCACCTGCTAGAGCTCCCGACCGCTGCAGGCGTCCCGCGCTTCTGCGTCATGCACCACCACCACCAGCAGGAGCCCACGGACAATTGTAGCCTTTGAGGGAGAAGGTAATTCAACCCTGCATTGCTTGAGCCAAGAGGGCTACAATTGTAGCCTTTGACACCTACCTTGGCCTAGCAATTGGGAGAATTGTTTTCAACCATTGTTTCACCTCCAACGGGTCACAATTGCCTCGTCACACGCCATTTCATTCGATCCCACGGTTCTTGGTAGATGGTTAGGGGGAAGCAACACCCGATTGAAGCTTCTCACCAAGAGTTTTCCAACCCTTTTACTTTCCAAGTCTTGTTTTTCAATAGTAGGTCGTAGAGTTTTCAACAAACAACAATCCGCTAGATAATATTTCAAACAATTGAAGTAGGGGTACATGGACCGACCCGGGTCAATATTTAAACATACTTGCCCTTTATTGAACCCATTTAAGGTTTATACTTGGGCCTTAGGTGAGATTTTATTGTGATATTCGGGACGAGTCAACGGTCAGCTTCTATCAATGTCCACCGCATAGGGGAAAGGCCACCCAATCTCTCATGCCTAATATTTGTTGTCTCGTTATAAACCTGATTCATGTTGTGATGAGCATCATACTTGAGCATTCCTTTGTTTGCTTCCCTCAAAATAAACCTCCAATTTGTGATTGTGAAATCCCTTTGGCTTGCCAGATCTTTCCATAACAACCAAAATTCTCCACTGACTTTTGCCATCTACTGATGAACCCCGCACTACCACTCAGAACTGACAACCTTGCTTGCCTGATTTTGATTTGGCTCATCTTGTATTCGTCAAATCTGGGGTATATGATTTGCTCCTCTTACCATGGTTGGAATCCATATATATCCGCGGATAGTCTTCTCCGGGGTTTCTCTTGGTTGATTGCACAACCAAGAAAAACCTATTTCTTTGGGCAATCTCCTTTGCCGCCGCACAGGCTTCGACATATGTATAATAAACAACATCACTTATGAACAATGATGTGTAATCAAAATTGTCACCCTCATTACCACCAAATTACCCCTATAATTAAATAGGGTAAAAACATATAAGGTTTAGTCGTGCAAGAATTATGGTACAATTATAGAACTATCAAACATCAAACAAACATAGTACTTACTAGACCTGGCAATCGGTCGGGTTGGGGACTTTGGTTACGGGTCGAGTCATGTTTGTTTGACTGATTTCGGGTCAAATATTGACCCAACCCATTTGTTTTTGGGTCGGGTTACAGGTCATTTCGGTTACGAGCGTTCTCAGAAACAATATTAAACATGCTTCATATTTTCTTAAAGAAAACAAAATTTTCACATATGCATGACAATAGTTTACCTAACACATGTCAATTAACATATTCTCAAATCCTCCCACGCTAATGAAATGAAATACAAATTGCACACATCGTCATAAAACAATAGCAAGAGTAATACTACTACAAGAAACACATGATATTTGATTATCCTTAAACTCCAAACATGTCATTCAAATCCTTGTGATTTTTTTAAACATCTCACCAATTTATGAGTGATTTTATCATATTTTGGGAGTGATATATAAAATGGAACGGGTCTAACGGGCCGACCCGCTAACCCACCCAACCCGACCCCAAAATTCACAAGTTATCGGGTTCAGGTCATTCGAATTTTGGGTTACAAAAATTTCTAGTTTTCGGGCGGTTTCGGGTCGGGTCTGTTCAACGAGTCGAGTTGTAATTTGCCAGGTCTAGTACTTACTGAATTACTCATAATAATCTCCAAAGGAAATATCCTTAATCGAACTTGATTATCTTCGATTAGACGTCTTTATTTCTATTATGTTATGTAAAATTCGTAGGTCTTACACCCTATATTTATAGAGGTTGCAAAAGCATGAAACTAACATTGTAGAAATAGAAAACAAATCATGCACCAACTAGGAAACATAATACTACTTTAACAAGGACTACAACTACTAATTAAGCTTCTAAAAACCAAATTAAATAATTGTGATGTCCTTTTCCTTTGAGGAATTATTTCCTTTGAGTCATTATTTAGTTTTGCTAGTTATTTGTCCAAACAGACCATATCCAAACGTCAAACTAGACCAGACCCACCCAATTCCTACACTTTGACCCAACTAGCAGGTGATAATCGGTTTTAATATATCTGATTCTTGAACTCTATGTGATTATCCTAATGTTTGTTTAAGCCGATTGGTGCTATTTTAGGACTCCCTAACCCGAGAATGGTTGAAAAATCATTACTGCCTAGTGCCATGAGTTTAATGTATTACAGGTAAAGAAAACACAAAAAAGAAATTGCACCGGCAAACAATTCTCGAAAGCTGGACTTAAAGCCCAGCTGGAGGGAGATTAATGACACGGGCTGGTGATTTTTATTGGGCCTCGGGACGTAATTTGGAAGAAGGGAAGGCTTGGGACGTTTTTGGGCCAGGGGGAATTTTTGTGGATTCATTTTTGGTGGGACAAGAATTGGACCTGGAGATTTTACGGGGAGGGGATTCTTTTGGAAAAAGAAAAAGCCAAGGCGAAGGGGAATTAATTAATGGGAGAGGAATAAAGAGGAACGGATTTTCTTGGAAGCAAGCCGGATAGAGAGCAGCGCAGCTACGAGAGAGCGGAGCGGATTGAATAATCACCAGATGCCAGGGGAGAAGGAATCGACGAGCATCGTTTGAAAATTTCTCAGTACTTTTGTTCCTTCTCCTTTCATTAGCTTGATGATTATAAACATGATTGTTTGTTTTATTTTTGTCATGAACTAAACCCCGATTTCTGGGGGAAACACCATAGGATATAGCTATTTCTTGATTTGATCGATTGATTCATGATTCTTTTCTTCCAATCTCTATTGTATGAAATTGCTTAATGCTTTGTGTTGACTGACCACCAATACAATGAATCGTAGTTAATTAGGTTATTAGCGACAGTGAAACCCTAATAACTGAACCTATTTCATGTGACATAGTAACTTATCGAAGCGACAGTGGATTAAATAAGGTGTTATGCGGTCTTAAATAGGATATCGATCTTCAGGCTAAATAATTAAGTCATTGAGCTACGACAGTAGGATTTGATTTAATTGTTTAGTACGTAGTAATTCACGACAGGGATAGCTAGCACAGTAGTGATATCCTGACTGTAGAGATATGGATTAAATTGATTGGAATGTGTGAATTAATCTGGATAGGATAGGTAGTGAGTCCCGGTGTTTCTCCCAGAGCTTTCTCCCATTGATTTAAACCCGACAAGTTTACTTTGTTTAATCAGTTTAGTTATTTTGCTTTTAGATAATTAGTCTCATAAACCATTTTCACCTATAGTTTGCTCAATAAAATTGATAGAACTTAAGGTTGTACCAGTCCCTGAGAGACGATACCCGGACTTTCCGGTTTACTACGAGATAAGAAATTGGCATATACGCTTTTGCCCTATCAAGTTTTTGGCGCCGTTGCCGGGGACTGCCATATCTTATTTTTATTGATTTTTGTGAGTGAACTATTTTGATCTGGGTGTTAGTGTGGAGAAGAATTTTCAGGTTTATCCTCCTCGTGCATGCCTAGGAGGACGGCCGGCGATTTACTGCCACTAGATCCGGAGATCGAGAAGACCTGCCGACAGAACAGGAAGCAGGTCAAGTTAGGGAAGCAGCCAACCACAACTCCTAGGCCTTCCCTAACTTATAGTCGTCGACAGAGAGGACATGCTTCATCATCTGTCATCCCTACACCACCGACACCACCACCTCGCATTATCGAGCCTGTCATCATGGCAGAACAGGATCGTTCGATCAGGGCTCGCTTGAATCGAAGGACTGGAGCCCGAGCTTCATGTGTTGTCATTCCGGCTGGGGATGCAACCATGGAGATTACCCCAACATTCATCAACATGATCACCAATGGGTATACTTTCTCGGGGGCTAGCAGTGAGGATCCTCAGGAGCATCTTCGTCGGTTTGCGAGCATATGTGATACGATGAAGAGCTCAACTGTGTCCGATGATGCAATTCATCTTCGGATGTTCTCATTCTCTCTGATAGGGAATGCATCACACTGGTTTCAGAACTTAACACCACGTTCCATCACGACATGGGCTCAGCTTGAGAAGGTATTTCTGGATAAATACTTCCCACCTGCCTTGGCAATGAAGAGGCAAGAAGAGATTGTTACTTTTAAGCAGGCTGATGATGAGAGTCTGACTGAGGCATGGGAGCGCTATAAGGGGCTATTGATGAGATGCCCAAGCCATGGTCTTGAAGATTGGAACGTGGTCATTATTTTCTTCAATGGAATCAGAAGGGAGTTCCGGGATGCCCTGAATAATGCTTCTCGAAATGGTTTCACAAGCATGGGGGCACCAGAAGCATATGATCTGGTAGAGAAGATCTGTTCAGAAGCCACTGAATGGGGTAGTGAGACCAGTATTCGAAGAAGAGGAGGCTTGCATGAGATAAACAGAGTTGCGAGTCTAGAAGCCAAGATAGATGCTAAACTGGATTCCAAGTTTGATGCACTCGAACGAAGGTTGGCCAAGATTGCTCTGGGTAGACAAGAGGAGGTTGCTTCATGTGAACTTTGCGAGGGTCCTCATCATAGGGATATGTGTCCACTGGGAGCTGCTCAATTGGAAGATGTCCAATACATCAATAATCCGCGAAGTCAAGGCCAAGGTGGTATGTATTCAAATACGTACAACCCTCAATGGAGACATCACCCCAATATGTCATGGTCGAATAATAATCCAGCTGGTGTTCGAAACATCCCACCTCCTGGTTTTCAACAGCAGCAGCCTCAACCAGAGAAGAAGCCCCAGCTGGAGGAGTTGATTTGGCTCATATGCAGAAAACAGACAATAATTTCAAGGGTCTTGATCAATTTGTCACTCAACAGCTAGCCATCAACAATAATATGCAATCATCTATGCTAGATATGGAGAGGCAAATAGGCCAGATGGCTCAAACTTTGGCAGACATTCAAGGTAGGATTCCTGGGACTTTACCAGCAAATACTGAGAGAAATCCAAAGGACGCCATGGTTGTAGCCGTCACATTGAGGAGTGGGAAGGAGCTGGAGGATCCAAAGAGCAAGAAAAATCCGGTAGAAAAGGAGGGCAAAGCAGCTGTAGAGGAAGAAAGTGCAAAAGCTGAAAAATCCGACTTACACAGGCAAGTTGCATGCAATCTGCCTGTGCAAAAGCAATCTGCCCGTGTACCTCAAAAAGTGGAAAAATTGAAGAACGAAGAGGTAAAGCCTTATGAACCTCCCGCACCATTCCCTCAGAGGTTAATGAAGCCCATGGAAGACCCAAACTTCAAGAAATTTGTGAATATCTTCAAGCAACTTCATATCAACATACCGTTGGCGGAGGCACTTGAACAGATGCCTACATATGCTAAATTCTTAAGGGAGTTGCTGACGAAGAAGCGCAAATGGGCTGATCTGGAGAAGGTAACCCTTACCTCTGAATGTAGTGCTGTGATTCAGAATAAATTACCAGAAAAGAGGGATGATCCGGGCAGCTTCACCATTCCATGTGTCATTGGAGGTACAGAATTCAATAAATCACTTTGTGATCTTGGAGCAGGAATTAATTTGATGCCATACTCAGTCTACAGGAAATTGGGATTGGGAGATGTTCTTAAGCCTACTCGGATCACTCTCCAATTGGTTGATCGATCAGTAAAAATTCCATAAGGAGTGGTGGAGAATGTATTGGTGAAGGTGGGAAAGTTTATTCTCCCAACAGATTTTGTAATTCTGGAGATGGAAGAAGATCGGGGAGTGCCTCTCATTCTTGGTAGACCTTTTCTAGCCACTGGTGATGCACTCATCGATGTTGGGAGAGGCAAGCTAACATTCCGAGTAGGTAAGGAGGAGGAAATTTTTAATGTCTTTCAAGTTGATCATAATCACGATGCATTTGATGACTTTGAAAGTGGAGGTCGAGAAAGGAAAAATTCATCCTCTT